AAAAAAAAAAAAAAAGGTATTCCCCTATTGGGCATCCCACCAGATTCAGCAGGGGCTATTAAAACATTCAAAACAGCTAAAAAGAACATTTTATTCAGATTTAAAATCCTGTTCCTGACAGGTTTTTCGGGTCCATAACCAAATGTTAGATCCTGTGGGACAACTGGAGCTCCCGGTTTCACACAGACACAAGTCTGTTATTCGTGTCACTGGAGGCCTACAGATAAGCTTTGGGTATTTTTTCTGTGGACAGAAGCTTCCATGCAGGCTGTATTGTCTCAGTCCTGGCTTTTAAGCAAAGCAGTCTGAGGTGGGACAGTGCAGGGAGGTAACACTCCTAAGGCAGACTGTTTCTAAGACAAAACGGTGATTCTCCAAGCAATTTAGGACAAAAGACCCATATTTTTCAGAAGGCACAAAAGCAAATGTAGGGGAGGCACTGTTTCATATGCGGCTCTCTCTCTCTCTCTGTGTAGCACTCAGGTGTGTATGTAGATCAGCCTGTTCCATGTCTGCACCCTCCACGTTACAGGGAGGCAAGCGTTTGTGACCTAGAGATCACAGACAACTTTGGAGATGGTGCTTTCTTTTATGGTATGCTAAGGGAGAAGTTAAAAAAAAAAAAAAGATTGGCTATAAAACCAATATAGGTATGATGAGAAGGGCACAATAATTGAACATGGCAAAAATGTTCCTGGTGGGACTGCGGAGCTTGCGGTGCTTTGTGATTATCAAATGCAGTCACCTAAAACGCAGAGGCAGAAGGGCCACCGAGGACCAGACTGGCTGCAAATTCATTCAGTGCTTGTCATGCCGACGCAGAACCTTTCGCAAGGAGGGACAAGTGGGTTCTGGTCTGATTAAGCCTCTTGCACAGCAGCAGCATCTCCTCAGTGGGGACAAACTGCTCTCCTCGCGGCCTGGGAATGGTACTGCAAAGAGTCGGCGGTGTCAGCTGGAAAGTCTCCCTGTTGCGAGACAGAAGGAGGGATGGGGCAGTGTGCGTGGTGACCGCCCCTGCACGCAGGGTTGCAGATGTTCCTGCTCCAAGGGGTTATCCAACCCTTGTTGGAAATAGTTGTTCGCATACTCCTTCAAGATTCATTCATCTAAATTTCTATGGAAAAAAATATCATTTTAATAGACTTCCTTTGACAGAAAGACAGTAACTGCATTTTGGTTTCAGTTTATGGATTTTGAGCTGATTTGTGAATAGGCATGCTGCTTCTTCAGTGCACGGCTCTTGTGAGCTTGATAAAATTGGCAGCCAGTCTATTATAAAAAATAGATTTTAGTGCCAAATACACATAAAAAAGGAAAGCCATAACTTGTGATGATAAAGTGCTAGCCGTGACCGGTGGTCAAATGAGCTGCTGTACAATGGGGTGCCATATCAGCGCTTCAAACGCCCACAGCGAGGCAAGCGAGTTTCATAGCTGGGGCTATTAAATCTTATTTTAACCACTTTAAGCAGCTGAGCACTTTATCTTATTAATATAGCAGCGTTGTATAGTTTCCTGATACATGTAATCCATGTGCGTTGCTCTGTGGAGATAAATTATTTCTTGATGTATAATTGTGACTTAACAAGCAAGAAAGCCACCTGACGTTTCCGTAACACTAATTATTGAACTGTCTCTTTTTATCTCCTTCACAATGGGAAGTTCCACCCAATTTGACTGTTCCTCAGGAAAAGTCGCCGCTGGTCACCCGGGAGGGAGACACAATCGAGCTGCAGTGCCAGGTGACGGGGAAGCCCAAGCCCATCATTCTGTGGTCGCGCGCCGACAAGGACGTTGCGATGCCGGACGGCACGATGCAGACGGAGAGCTACGACGGGATCCTGAGGATAGTGAACGTGTCCAGGGAGATGACGGGAACGTACAGGTGCCAGACCAGCCAGTACAATGGTTTTAATGTGAAGCCCAGAGAAGCTTTGGTGCAGCTCATTGTACAGTGTAAGTAGACCCTGATTTTCTTTTCATGTGGTTTTGTTAAGAAGTTGATTTATTTCCCTCCTAAATATGCAGTAGCGAGAGTCTTATGGTTGTTACGTTTTTGATGCTATGTTGTTTGGCTCCATAGCTCCCTGAATTCATGATTTTAATGTAAATATAGAAGGAAAAATGACATAGGATTCCAATTTGTATTAAAAAAGAAGGAGGCAATCATTGCTTTGCTGTGCCTAGCTCTAAATTTTTAGACACAGGAACAAGTACACAAGGTAGGAGGACATATTTCTATAAATATGGATCTGATACTGATCTCATTTGTTGATAGTGTGTAAACAAATTTAAAAAAATGAGAGCAAGACCTGCTCCATCATAACTGATCTGCATACTGATCTGCAAAGCGGTCTGTTCTGGTTCTGAATATGAACTGTCAACATCAGGAGTGGAAAGGAAAAAATAAGAGGAAATCAATTATTTTGGAAATGCTCAGCTGTTATGATGGGGGAACAAACTCTGGTTTGCTGCAGTTTATGGGGAACGAGAAGCCATGCGCAGCTGATAAAGATGCTCACAAAGTGACTTGGATGTGCCTGTTTGAGTGTCAGTAGTTATTTTCACTTTTTAAAAAGTGACTTATGCAGCCTCATTTATTGCAGTTTCAGACGCCCGATCAGCTTGTTGCGGGCAATTTGCTTTTTAAGCGTTCTGCGTTCAACCCAACCGACCTCTTCTGAGGCCTCCAGGGATGAGATACTGCAGTATACATAATTGTTATTAATAATCAACTGGTTTGTTTTTTTTTTTTTCAAGGTATGTTGTATAACAAATTATTTATGCACTTAATCACATGGTGTGGCAGCGCTTTCATCAGAGCTGCTTACACTGTGTTTCATTAGCCAAGATACTCGGTGATGCTCCGGCGCTGCTTTTTATCAGTGCGTACGTGTATCGCAGGCGAGAAGCCACATGCGTTCACGACACCCAGAGGCTCCTGGACAGCCCCAAGCCTAGCAGGACAGTCTTTAGGCGAGCTGAAGCCTCTTGCATGGTCTTTTCCCAGGGCCATTGACTTTCATCCATGGTAGGACTGACTTCATCCCTCCCGACTTCTAGGTGCTTCACTGATGTATCAAGATGAGGAGCAGAGATACTCCCTCTATAGCGATCCAGGCAGTGGGCTGGATCCTGCCCTCTGGAGGTGCCTCTTTCTCTGATCACAGAAGGACCGCAGGGCAGTTAGGCTCCTAATGCGAGCTCTTATGAAGTGCATGCATCTGGGTAGGGAAAACTGGCTCTGGTACAAATGGGCTGGACCAGCCTGCACAAGAGAAGGACAAGTTCTGCCTTGGTTCAGTGTCATAGTAGCACTGTGGAGTCCTGTTTTTATTGGCTGTAATAACTATAAAACCTAACTATTGATAAAAGAGTTTCCACTCCTGTCAGTATTGCTAGGGTCACGGAGATTTTGATGATTGCTATTGCAGTTGTTGCTGCTAGGACTGCTTCTAATGGCACACGGTTTCTCCCCTCCTATAACAAGCAGTCATAATGACAGGGATTTAATTTTAGCCACACAGGAAAGGTCATTTACACAAGGTAAATTTAAGGGAAAGGTAGATAGTAAAAGACATGTAAGGGCAGAAAGCGGGCTGCATGGGTAGGCCCCCAAGCCCACCGTGCAAATGGATATGCCACTTAGGCAGAGCTGGTTGTAGCGGCCGATGCAGTAGAGCTGGCGTGTCATGTCCTGCTGTCTTCGCTGGAAGAAGGGGCAGTAAGCAGGAGAGGAGGGTCCCTGCTGGAGGAGGACACAGAGGACAGCAGCACAGCCACACTGCAGAGTTTCAGTTGCCACAGCTTATCACGGGTGTGCGGGAGGACTGGATGTACAGTATTTACAACTACCGCAGCCTTGTGGTGACGCTGCTTTGCCATTCATCGCAACCATTAAAAAGAGAAGGAAAAATTACCAAATACGCTTCTGTACAGTTGTAAACTGAAGAAAATTGAGGTTGCAAAAGTTTCATGTGACACTTGCCACACTGCTGCTCTTTGGGACATTGGGTTCTTGCACCTAGGTAGCGCAGCAGCAGCGTGGCGCGTAGAAATTGTCTTTGTCTGAAGGCTGTAGGTCCTCGGAGAGCAACAGTGATGGGTGAGAAAGGTGATAACGTACAAGACTGTCAGAGTGCTCAGACTGACGTTTGGCCTCTTTAGTGACTGCAGGCCATGACGATCTTGAAAGGCAGAAGGGAAAAGTGAATAACAAACTCAGTAACAGCAGGTTCACCGAGTCCACTGTAAGACTGTGAACAGCGACCGATACAGAACAGTGCGGCAGTGGTGCTCGTGAGTAAGGAGGAAAGAAGAAAAAGGCTTCTTTTCCCTTTTCTGTCACTGATTTTCTGTGAGAACTGTAAGGGTTTTTTGTTTTCCAGCCACTTGACTCCTCCATCTTAGCCATTTAGTTTATATTCTCTTTTTGTCAGAATATATCTTTTCCATATGTCGTGCAGAGTCCAGCGTGATTGCTAGTAGCATCCTGGTTGTGGTTGCTTGTGATGATGTGTGAATGATGAAAGCAGGGATGACGGAGCATTCTTCAAGTAATTTGGCCCATGTACAAATAAGCATGCGGAAGGTGGTCCAGATAAGTGAGAGCTCCAGTAAGCATCCTCTGAAGGTAAATCCACTCCAGCAGGTATAAGGAACAAGGACAAGGAGGCTGTCCTTTTCCCACTGCCTCCCTTCTTCTCCCTGTTTGAGAGATCAATTTTAAGATTTTCTCGTCTTCTAGGGAGCATTCCATACCCAGGCGAGCCCTCTTTCACACATTTTTTTAGCCTTACTTTTCCTTCCAAGTGCTCAGAAGCTGGGAGATACTTGAAGGACAAGCACTCAGAAGCACCCTGGGCATTGTTCTATGTAACATCTATGGTGTCCCCCATGCTTTACTCTGGAAGACTTAATTTCAAGTCTCTGGAAGTCACAGAAACTCTTCTATTTATCCAGTGAGCTCTCCATCATTTATTCCTGTCTCCATTTCAGATCTTCTAAACAGGTGATGTTATTTTCTTCACCTAGGCAGTAAATATTTTGGAAATAGATGGCTGAGTCTGGGTCTTGGAGAGGATGTTGGGAGGTTTTGTAGACATCCCACAAACCCTTCCTGGACCCTGAACCAATCGCTGCTGAACCCAATGGGTTAATTCCTACCGACTCCCATGGATATTGTTGGCTGAAAGCATCAGGTAGCTGGGGGGTGGATTGCTTGGATTGCTATTATTCTACGGTAATATTGGAGGAAAAAGCTGTGGATGTATGTATGGGTATTTTAAGCGCTGTATTATATGCAGCAGTTCATGTATTCTGAAAGAGATCAGAGACATGACTTGAAAATGGTTATAATAAGTGGGAGTATAATGGGTATTTACAGGAGATTTTTCTTTAATCTGTCCTTGTTCAAATTTCTGCGCACTTTATTCAGATACTAGCAAGTGACAATTTGAAGATAAATGGACAAAGCAGGTATTATGTAATGCTTTGATTATTTTTCTTGTGGGAGAAGAGTATGTGCGTTCCCACTGACTTCAGTGTTGTTTTGTAACTGGCATAGCGTTTATTTAGTTGTTATAAAAATCACTTCTTTTGGGTAACTTTATAATATTTATTTTAGATGCTTCTGTAAGTCATAAACAGGGAAAGATATTTAATGAAACACTTTGATTTATATAATAACTCATTGATTCCACTTTTGATATGATGTGTGGGTGTGTGAGCAGATGTTGAGTTAGCTGTGAGCAATCCCGTTTTCTAGGGTGCAAGAAGAATTTCTGCTTATGGGAGGACTTTCTGTCTCGCCAAAGTGCTGTATTACTCTGTTCTGCTTTGCGGTGCGAATCTTGCTGTGGAGCTAATGCTCTAGGTCGCATCCTTCAGTTCAAACGTAAGAAAAATTGCTAAGGATAAATGCAAAGATAAAGACACTTTGAATTTGATCCACTCTCAGTTCACCCTACCAGTTTTAACACACAGATGTTTGCTTTTCCTCTCCTCTCTCGTCCCCTGCCTTCCCTTCACTCTCATACTCAGTGACATCGGGATCCCAGACGGTGAGTTCTCTAGGAGACTGGTTGTTTCCCGTGCTTTTTTGCGGTTTGGCCTGGAGTCACGGTCAAGACTTTCGACGTTACCTATTTGCTATCAAATTTCAAAAATAAAATTCTAATGGGAAAATGCAAAGACATCACGGGAAACCAAAAACGAAGGAAGTCTCTAAGCAACCTTGGTCGGGTCTGTTGGTGCAGACGTGGTCGGGGTCGGGCTTTTCAGGGTGCTTTGACAGTCGTGCAGCCTTCGCCGCACGCTGACGCGGTCGCGCAGCAGCGAAACGCAGCACAGGCGGCGTGCCTTTCCAGGGCTAACCGAGCAGGCGTTATCTGGAGTCCTCCTGCGTCGCAGCCTCCCCTTTTTGCTGGTAAGGGGAATCTCGCTGAGACTTTTAACCACCCGGCAGCGGGGGACCTGCCCTCCCTGCACAGCCACGGCCAAGGAAGCACCCGCAGAAAGCAGCGCAGCCCTGGGTGCTTTCATCCCTCCCCAGCTGCCTATCTGTAAAAGAGAGATAGCAGCTCCCTGCCCGGGGGTTTCGAAGATAAGATTCGGAGGATGCTGTAGCAATGAAAGACGTGAAATACCTGATTTGATCAATAAATCTCCTATCCTTCGGTTCTTCTTATTATGCTCCCGTCCTGTTTCCTGGTGGGTGTATGGGAGCTCTCCGCAAGCTGTGGGGTTTACTGACTCTGATCTTTGTTGTTTGGCGGATTTTGTGAGCCCTGCGAGCTTTTCTCTCTGAGATTAATTAGGGTCATGGAAATGCAGCACCAGCGACAGAAAAGAACTAAAACTAGAGGGTTGGGATTTAGTCCCCGTTGTCCCTGTAACCCACCCTCCCGTGGGAGAGCGGAGAAGGCTTCTGGGAGACAAAAAAGGCGTTAGATGAA